GAATCAATTTCATAAAGTAAAAATGATTTGTTTATATCAGTGAAATTCACTGTTATAAGCAATAATAATGTGTTTAAAAAAAAAAAAAAAATCCTTATCACCTCCCCAGAAAAGTACAATGTTACTATGGTAACACCGTATTGCTCTGGTCACACTATGTAATATATATATATATATATATATATAAAATATAAAAAAATGTAATAAAAAAGAAAATAAATATTAAAAAAAAAAGGAAACATACGGTCATACAGCCAACGTCCCTGATCACTGCCACACCAGTTGTATGATGATGCTGTACTGCAATGATGACAGTATGCAAAAAAAAAAAAAAAGAAAAACATGAAAAACTTTCTTCTTTTTTCCAAGAACATGTGACAAAAAATGTACAACTTCAAAAAACTCGCCATGCCTCCTACTAAATACCTTGGACTGTCTACTTTCCAAAAAGGGGTCATTTGGGGGAGACTTGTACTGTCTTAGCATTTTCAGGAGAAATGAGATCGGCCGTCAGTACATCAGGAATGAGCAACTTTCTTCCTTTAAGTATATCTGTGAGGGGGTACAATCATCCTGGCAACCATCTGTACCAATAAGGCACACTAACTTCTCCCCCTGATGCATGACTATGTAAGTCTATTTCTTTAAGTAGAAACTATACTCACTTCTCTTGGGTCACTCTGCTTCAGTGCACCCAAACCAGGATACTTTCTTCACTTGCTATGGAGAGATTTATTACTATGTCATTCCTAGTCCCTTTTATTTAGCATCTACAACCTGTCAGAGAACAGTCCTGTTCAGAACAGTCAGGCCCGATCATTGCTCTACGCTTACTCATGATATAGTTCAAGACTGTTCCCTCCACTAATTATCCCCTTTCTCCTTGGTACATTTTAGTATCTTCCCTGATGCTAATAAGTAAGATGATGTCCAAATGTCTGGATGGGCAAAAATAAGGAACTTTAGTCTCTCACACAGACATCAAATCACACTTTTTTTCAAGTTGACTGTTCTTTAACACTTAGGCCTTGTTTACTCGGGCATATTATAGCATACAACCATGTGAGGGCTGTGTTTGCCTGCATGGAATGCATGTTTCATGCACCCCAGGCAGGCAGCCCTATTCATTTCAATTGGAACACAGCCGCTGCAGGTACACAGCTGCTGCACTCAATTCGACAGCCGTGTGGGTGCGGGTATACGGCTCCAAAATGCACACTGTCTGCAATAGGGGCCGGGCAACCACGCATGCATGTGCACACACACACATACACACAGTTGTCCAATTGGGAACAGCAGCTGTGACCATGCAGCAGCTGCATCGCAACTGACATGAATGGGACTGCCTGCCCAGGGATGCATGGAACACCTGTGCATTCCTGTGTGCGCAAACAGCCCTCGGACAGGGTGTATGCTTTAGTACACCCGTGTGAATTAGGACTTGCAAGGGATAAAAAATAAAACAGTATATCTGCTTGCATGTTTGGATGATGGAACTCAGGAGATCTTTACCTCATTCACTGGCAAGGTGGAGTAAACCAAGCCATTCCTCTTCATTTTTGTCATAGTCTTCAGGGTGCACCCTCTATCGCTTATGTTAATTAATCAAAATCACAACATTATAAGTGTACCTCTATACTGTTTCTATATTGGGAATACTAACAAACCTCCCAACAGAATTCAGCCAGTAGCACCACACTCCCCCAAGGGCAGGGGCTGGCATAATTTGGACTACATTGTGGCGTAAATCTCAAGCATGGAGCAAAATTACATTGCCCCTTACTTCTCCTTAGCCTGGAACCAACAGACACCAACTACTGGAGTCAAATTGTCATCTTTTCTCCCACACATATTACTCGCTCTCGCCTGACTGAAGCAACATTTGTCTCCTTAGCTGAGAAGAGCAGCAGTTGTTACGGACTCCTAGCAGAAGGATAACAGTATTCCTTAAAAGGAGGTCATTTTGGATACTGTAGGGGAAGTTTAAATCCAATGCCAAATTTTTTTTATATATATTCTTTTTGCCATCTCTGTCTTATTATGACCTTTTTCCTTTACATCCTGTCCTGTAGACTTAACTGGAAGGGAAACAGCAACTTTGAAATGTGAGGGAAATCCATTCCTGAGAGAGCTGTCACAGGAACAAGCGACTCCGCTGAAAGATTTCCTCCCTTCTCCTGTTCTGGTGGCAACTCAAAATTTTGGATTTACCCCCACTTTCAATCCCAGTGCCATTGGTGATTATGGCAATTAGGAATATGTGAATCTGCCTAAAGCTGGTCATACATGGATCAAACTTTGGCCAGTTCAGCTGGGACCAGCCGAATTTCAATCCACGTATGGGCACCCTGGTTGTACACAAGTCGATCAATCAACTTGTGTGGAACCAGCTTTTCAGCTATAGCCGGCAACTCAAAATCATTGTGTTCTACTGGCAGGAAAGGCTCCCTGTGCTCCCCGTCAGCAGAAAACTGATGGAAGGAAAGAAAATTGCATAATCTATGGCTTGCCTTAGAGACACAGGCAGCAATAAAACCTGACTGTGGTTCTACCACCTCACTACTCAATTAAAAAAAACAAACACAATTTTGCCTTTAGTTATACTTAAAATACACATTTTGTTGTATCTCTCCAAGGAGTGAACAATGCCAGACCTACAGTATATCAGACCTATTTACCATAAACAAGTTTATGGTATTTAATATATATGTCTTTCTCTGACTATTTTCATTAATGACACACAATTCTTTCCACTGACCAGTCATATCTAAATGGTAATGATTCAGACATCAACATTTCTTATAACAGGTGCCAGCATCTATCTTTTTTCCATGTTTTTTCCCTCTTGAGGTGCCCAAGAAACCCCAACTTTGGAGCTGAAATTTAATTTCATACTGTGTATTCTAGGCCCTAAAGCTCAGAAGCCGCTCAGGAGGATAAAAAAAAAAAAAAGAAAATAATGTAGAAATAACTGGGTGACTGCTATTTTAAGTCAGTTTCCTATCTATCAGATGTGCCAGGTTTACTTTAAAGCAACTCTGTAACTTTGCCCTGACCCACTTGTACTCACTTTCCTTTCTGATCTATTCTCCCAGGGGCCTAAACTGTGAGTAAGGTACACATTACATGGTTTTGGAGCTTACACAGGGTTAATGGCATCACCTCCTTTAACCCAATTGGTCACACAGGGCTGAGAAATGCATTTCAGAGGAGGCCACATGCTTCACCCATAATTAGTGAGCCAGAGAGCCGGCTATTTAGAGATTCTGTCACTTTGCACATCTCTTTAACAATGTCTGCTCTAACTAGACCTCTATGATGACCTGTTAGAATAAATTAAATATACCAATTATCATGCATGTCTACTTTTCATCCAATGGGAGCTCAGCTATTCTGCTTTTGAAAATATTGTACCTATACATACATCCAAAATCAAAATTATTTTATTTATTTACAGTGAATTGGTTTACTGCCAAATAAAAAATTTTCTTGCACGTTATTCCGCTATATTATGCTTTTTTGTAGGGGAGAAATAGGGTGCCATTACTCACGTCCTTCAAAAACTACTAGCCCCCTGGCTATTTTGCTGATTTACTAGCTTTACTACCTCCTGAACCACTCACCTGAAACAAGTAGGCAGATCACAAATGTCAGAACTCCTTATCTGCATTCTGGTTTTGGATTATTGATCCGTATTGAAGCCAGAGAATCAGCATGACAACCAACTAACATTTGTAGAAACAGAAGCATTAGAAGTCTTTACAATTTTTATTTTTTTTTATTAAAAAAAAAGAAATTTCTAGTAGTTTTCCAAAATTTACTTTTAAATAATTTGTGTAATCCAATATTTTGACTTCAAAATATAATGATCAAAGTCTTCTAAACAGAAAAACAAAATATTGTCCTCAAAATATAATGATTAATGTATCCTAAACAGAGTGATACAACAAAGTTTTTTCACTTTTGATGTCACTGCAATGCACATGGGATGAAAAGAACCTGTTTGTGTACATTGCAAGTATGCAATTAAAGTGGAAGCAAAGGCGAAGCCTAACTAACTCTAAACCTACTCTCAGCCACATTCTAAACCTTATCTATCTAGCCCTGTAAAGAAAACAATTGCAGCAGTACCCAGTGGCACTCTCTGTGTGCAATAGACAGCTGACAATGGATGGGAAATGCCTAGGAAGTGACGTTGCCCACAGAGTTACTATGGGGGTTCCGTTGTCAGCTGCTTCTCCTGCACACTCCTACAGGATGAAGTCATGGGACCAAATGAGTGACTGAAGAACATGTAAGTATAGCGAGTCTAAAAATTGTCGAACAATTATTGAATAATGTCCCTTAATGTAAAAATGCAATGGCAAGTATATCATCATCTACAGTACATAATATCATTAAAAGATTGAGAATCTGGAGAAATCGCTGTGCGCAAGGAACAAGGCCGAAACGCAATATTGGATGCATGTGATCTTCACATTAGACAGCACTGCATTACAAACAGGCAAGATTCTGTGATGGACATCAATGCATGGGTTCAGGAATACTTCCAAAATCTCTGTCTATGAACACAGCTCGCCATGCCATCCAACCATGCAAGGTAAAGCTCTATCCTGTAAAGAAGAAGCCATATATAAGCATAATCCAGAAATGCTCTGGGCCATAACTCATTTAAAATGCTCTGTTGCAAAGTGGAAAACTGTTCTGTAGTCAGACAACTCAAAATTTGACATTCTTTTGGCACCATGGACACGGCGTCCTCTGGAATAAAGAGGAGAGGGAACTTCTGGCTTGTTATGAGCACTCAGTTATAACTACTGTATCTATGATGATATGGGGACGCATTATTGAAAAGGGCCATTTGCAAATTTGGAAAGGCACCATCAATGCTGAAGGATATACTATATTGCCAAAAGCATTGAGACGCCCCTAAAAATCACTGGATTCAGGTGTTCCAATCACCTCCATGGCAACAGGTGTATAAAATCAAGCACCTAGGCATGCAGACTTCTTCTACAAACATTTGTGTCGCTCTCAGGAGCTCAGTGAAATCAAGCGTGGTACCGTGATAGGTTGCCACCTGTCCAATAAGTCCATATGTGAAATTTCCTTGCTACTAAATATTCCACAGTCAACTGTAAGTGGTATTATAACAAAGTGGAAGCAACTGGGAACAACAACAACTTAGCCACGAAGTGGTAGGTGACAGCAAAATGACAGAGCGGCTCAGCACATGCTGAAGTGCACAGTGAGCAGAAGTTGCCAATTGTCTGCAGAGTCAATAGCTAAAGACCTCCAAACTTTGCGTGGCCTTCAGGTAAGCACAACAGTGCATAGAGAGCTTCATGGAATGGGTTTCCGATCAGCTGCATCCAAGCCTTACATCACAAAGTGCAATGCAAAGTGTTGGATGCAGTGGTCTAAAGCACGCTGCCACTGGACTCTAGAGCAGTGGAGACGTGTTCTCTGGAGTGGCGAATCATGCTTCTCTGTCTAGCAATCTGATGAACATGTCTAGGTTTGGTGGTTGCCAGGAGACTTGCCTGACTGCAAGTGTAATGCACTTTTCTGTTCCGTTTTGATACATACAATTTATGATGCACTTTACTGTTCTATTCAGTTTCTAGAATTTGATTTGCCGACAGTTATTTAATTATTTTTATTTGATCCACTTTATTGTTCCGCTTGATTCATTAGTCATTTAGCGCTGCACTTATTTTACATATTTCTCAGGTTATATGTTAATTTTCTATTGTGAGTAAAATATTGGTTTGTAGGATTTCCAAATCATTGCATTCTGTTTTTATGTAGATCTTATCTTACACAGAATCCAATTTTTTTGGAATTAAAGAGACACTAAGCTTTGGTAAAAACAAAAAATCAAAAAAACAAAACAAAACAAAAACTACTCATGTAAGTATACCAACCTCAAAACTACCTTCTAACACTCTCAGTCTTCTTCAAATCTCCAAATTCCTTTTTTTTGTTGCAGTGATTTGACATTCTATTACAGGGAATTTACATTTATTTTTACCCAGTCCCACGGTATGTAGCCATCTTCTCTTGCTCGCCCCCCAACATCGACTAGGGACTATGCAATTTGTAGTGTGCCTAGAACAGTACACATGGTCCAAACTAATGTGCATCATTTGTTACAAACAGAAGTGAGGGGTAAAGAGAGAGGTTTGGGAGCTCATCGATGATACTATAAAGTGGCATAAAAACACAGCAAAACACAATTCCATGAAAAATAGATCATAGGGCCACTAAGTAGTGGACGTTTGTGGATTATTTTTGAACAAAAAAGATATTGTTTAGTTTCACATTAAGAATCACTTACCATGCAAGCCCATAATTACATTGTCAATGCAGATTAAAAACTGGACAAATATACCATTTAAAATGTTTGCAACTTTCCTTGACTGCATCTTATGAATTCAAGTAGTTCTAAAAATGTGATGGGACATATAAAATCCAAAGACTAAAAGAACAGTGACCCTTCAGCAGTGATGTGACAACAAAAGGGGTACAAGTTAGACAAGTTAAAATTGTTTTAGACAAGTTAAAATTGAGAATTTACTAACAGATATATCAGTCTGGATATCACACCACTTCCTCAAACTCAATCTATCCTTACGTAGTTAGTCTGGATGAAAAAAGACAAAAGTTCATCCAGTTCAACCAAAAAAAAAGTTATAATCTTATACCCACAGTTGATCCAGAGGAAGGCAAACATCCCAGTAAAGCATAATCTAATTTGCTCCTGCAAGGGAAAAAAAAGGCCTTCCTGATCCCCCAAGAGGCAAATCAGATATTCCCTGGATCAACATTACCTATAAATGTTAGTAACCAGTTATATTCTGTGTATCCAAGAAAGAATCCAGGCCTTTTGTAAAGCAATCTACTGAGCTGGCCAGAACCAACTCATGAGCGAGTCTATTCCACATTCTCACAGCTCTTACTGTGAAGAAACCTTTACATATTTGGAGATTAAATCTCTTTTCCTCCAGACGTAGAGAGTGCCCCCTTGTCCTCTGTGATGACCTCAAGGTGAATAACTCTACACCAAGTTCACTGTATAAACCACTGATGTATTTATACATGATGATCATATCCCCCCTTAATCTCCTCTTTTCAAGAGAGAATACATTCAGTTCATCTAATCTTTCCTCATAGCTGAGCTCAACCATGCCTCTTATCAGTTTGGTTGCCCTTCTCTGTACTTTCTTCAGTTTCTCAATGTTCTTTTTGTGATTTGGTGCCCAAAACTGAACTGCATATTCCAGATGAGGTCTTACTAATGATTTGTACAGGGGTAATATGATATCTCTCTCTCTGGAGTCTATACCTCTTTTAATACAAGAGAGGATTTTGCTCGCTTTAGAAACCGCAGCTTGGCATTGCATGCCATTATTAAGCTTGTGGTCTACCAGAACTCCCAGATCCTTCTCCACCATTGATTCCCCCAGTTGTACTCCCCCTAGTATGTATGATGCATGCATATTCTTAGCCTCCAAGTGCATAACCTTACATTTATCAACATTAAACCTCATTTGCCACATAATTGCCCAATTACACAGTGCATTGAGGTCGGCTTGTGAGTTGTAGACATCCTGTAAGGACATTATTCCACTGCACAGCTTGGTGTCATCTGCAAAGACTGAAAAGGTATTTTTAATGCCAGACCCTATATAGTTTATAAATCTATTAAAAAGTACGGGTCCAAACACTGAACCTTGGGGTACACCACTGACAACCCTAGACCATTCAGAGTATGAATCATTAACCACAACTCTCTGAATACAATCTTTTAGCCAGTTTTCTATACATTTACATACAGATTTTTCCAAGCCTATAGACTTTACCTTAAACATTAGCCATGTGTGGGGAACTGTGTCAAATGCTTTTGCAAAATCCAAGTATACCACATCCACAGCAACCCCTCTGTCCAAGGTTTTGCTCACCTCCTCATAAAAAGAAATCAGATTTGTTTGACAACTTCTGGCTTTCATTAATCCATGCTGTCTGTTGCTTAAGATATTTTTTTCCCAGAAAGAACTCATCTATGTGGTCTTTTATTAAACTCTCCAGTATCTTCCAAACTATAGAGGTTAAACTAACAGGTCTAGAATTACTTGGTAAACATTTTGACCCCATTTTACATATAGGCACCACATTGGCCTTACGCCAATCCAGTGGTGCTATGCCAGTCATTAGAGTCTTTAAAACAGAGCTTTTAATATTTTTCCTGCCCCACATTCTCCTTCCCCTGCCTTCTTGATCAAGATCAATGGCACAGTCATCAACCTGTCCCCTCATGCCAGGGTGTTTGGTGTAATCCTGGACTCTGAACTCTCTTTTCAGCCCCACATCCAATCACTGTCAAAAGCTTGCCACCTCAACCTACACAGCATCTCCAAAATACTTCAGTCCATTATGATTGCTGCTGCCAGACTCATCCACCTTACCAACCTTTCAGTGTTTGCTACTCTTCTCTACCAATCCCTTCACTGGCTTGTGCTCACCGATAAATCAAATTAAAAAAATTAACAACCTACAAGACCATCCACAACTCGGCCCAAGCTACAACATTAAACAGATTTCAAAATACCAACCAAATCATTCTCTTCATTCCTCCCAAGACCTCCTGTTCTCCAGCTCCCTTGTCATCTCTTCCCATGCTCGCCTCCAAGACTTCTCCCGAGCCTCCCCATCCTCTGGAATTCCCGACCAAATCTGTCCGACTATCTCTATCTCCTACTCTGTCCACTTTTAGGCGATCCCTGAAAACCCTTCTCTTCAGGGAAGCCTAACCTGCCCCCACCTAACAACTGTATTTTTATTTTCTCTATCAGCTCATCCTCCACAGTTATTACCTTTTTGCATCGCTTGACCCTCCCATTTACATTTTTAAAGATGAATGATGTAAATATTTATTGACAATAGTCCTTGGAGGAATGATATCTAGACATGGGCAACATGTGCTTCATTTTAAAAACTGAATTTCAAAAACTGAAGTGTGTATAATAGTTGTAACCAGTGGCATAGCGTGTGTGTGTGTGTGTGTGGGGGGGGGGGGGGGGTCAGCCGGTGCCCAGTGGAGACCCAAGTAGTAGAACATTGCATTACATCCAAATATATACTTGTTGCATCAGTGCACTGCAGTTCCTTCCCTGAAGCTGCTAGGTGTCTCTTTTGTGCTCAGACTCTCACCCCTCCTTCTCTGCCTGGAGATTGGCCATCCGATGTTATCCTATTGTCAGATGGTGGGCGTGTCCTTGGTTCAGTAGGAAACAGTTGCTAGGTCTGTCCACAATGTTCGGCTGCAATGGGTCCTGGGCGGTGAGGGCAGTCATGCTGGTAGGGGTGATCAGAGTCCTGGTGGCTCTGATCCACTGATAACACACCTTGTCCCTGAAAGAGATCTCTGCCCTGGCCCAGGAACAAGCGGGTAACTATACCCCTGACTGGTCACTCTGCAGCCTGGTCACATATTTAAGGCTTCTGCTGGAAAGGGGGATGAGGGGCCCAGAAGTGGTTGGAGGGGCCCCAGGATGGTTGGTGGAGGAGAGGGCCCCTGGGTATTTGGAGGAGGAGGAGAGGGCCCTGGGAGTTTCAGAGGGAAAAGGAGAGGGTCCAAAAAGTAGTTGGCAGAGAAAGAGCAGGCCCCTGGATGATTGGTGGAGAAGGAAAGGGCCCTGTATTGGTCAGCAGTGAAAGAGCAGGCGCTTGGGCGGTTGGAGGAGGCAGGGACCACTGCGTAGTCCCAGATTAGGAAGAGAGGGCTCTGGGGTGGTTGATGGAGTAGGAGGGTCCCCCAGGTAGTTGTTGGAGAAAAGGGTCCCCCAGGTAGTTGGTGGAGGAGGCAGGGGCAAAGTGGGCTGGGGAGCAGGCAATTGCCCCCAAGCTGCTTTGATGCTCCATAAAAAATGCTGCACTGCTGTGGCTGCTCAGCCTCCGCTTGCTAGAGACCCAGCCCTGATCCTCTAGTATTGCCAGTTGCCAGGGAAAAGTGGAGGAGAGCCAGTCCTGCATTTCTGACATCAGAGCCTGACATGGCGGAGCTGAAGTCCTTTGCCCTAAACAATGACAGCACACCCAGGAACGCAAAAGCCAAACTGTTCAGCTCCCCAGAGGGCACCGCTCTGGCCTATGGCAATCTATTAGATTGTAAGCTCCCAGGAACAGGCCCCGCTTAACCCTCTTGTATTGAACTGTGTCGTTGCTGTATTGTCCCCCTTTATATTGTAAAGCACGGAGTAAACAGTTAGCACTATATAATTCCTGTATTATAATAATAATAATAACCATAACCTGCTGGGGATGGCTCTGCTCTCCACCTTCATGGACATGAGGAGTGTCAGCTGTGCCAGGGGAAGGTGAGAGGGAGCGGGGCTCTGACATTATATATCATATGGACTCTCACTACATTAGTAAACTTGTAAA